GGGTGAAGAAGCAAACATGTGAACTCGGATTCAGGGTAGGATACGGGCCTAAACACTTGAGAATGAATCATGAATGAGGCCCCAGATCAACACTTAAGATACCACTTAACCAAGAATCATAGATCTAATAAAAGGTTCGATCTTTTAAACGAATTAATCATTAAATTCAGCATGTGAGCACACAGAGAATGACAGAGTCATTTAGATCTGCAGTTTCATCAATAATCACCTTACACATTGCCATTGGACCAAAAAGATAATGCTTGAACATAGAACTTGAAGAAAAGAAATCAAGCCTTCGCATGAAATGAAGCAAACAAGAGCAATAAACAAACACAAATTCCAACAGAATTCTCGATTCCATATCAAAGAACTCAGATTGAAATTAAACACACCAGAATCATATGGATCCAGCAGAAAACTAATATAATCAACATTAAAGCAGCTGAAATCACGAAAATGACATAGAAAAAATTAGGATCTGAGACTTGCCTTATTCTTGTGAGAACGTGCCGACAGATAAGGGAACTTTCGTAGAGATCCGAGGATGGGAAGAAAGGGCATGACGAGCCTGGAATATTTATAGAGAGACGATAGGAGTGTAGTTCGGGGTTTTTTTTTTTTTTGTTTTTTGGTACAATGTAGTTCGGGTTTTTTTTTAGTCAGTCACAGTATTTGGAGTTATGCCCCGACTAATTCGTTGTTCGACCCACATACCTGACAGTGGTGGGTGAATCTCCTAACAAAGACTTGAACCCGAAATCTTATTTAAGGGACATCAAGCTGCTTACCACTTAAGTCAGTTAGTTCGGGCTTAGAATCATGTAGTCCTGCAGCACAAATAATGTTTCGTTTCATTTCATATATTATGCGATTGTACATATTTTTTTTTTTTTTTTTAAAAATGGTTTTATGTCCTAACACTACACGTTTTTGTGTTAATTTTTGACGCTTTGCGTAACTTTGAAGATCCGAGGATGCCAAAATCGATATTCTTTGACAATAAGTTGTTGACATTCTATTAAAAATCAATGACCAGATTGAGATCCGATTTAATTTTTTGATTCCAAAATAAAATATCAATAATCCAATTTAAGTTTGCAAACTGTTGTAAATATTAAGTTGTGGACATTACCTAGATATAGGATTTGTAGGCATGGGCCAGGAGCCCATTAGGTATTTACTCATGTACATTATATTCCCTTATATATAAGGCTCAAGTGAATGAATAAGATGATGGTTTTTGACGGCGTATCTCTTCTCTCTTATTCTCTTCTTCTTCTACTGTTTCTATCTTTGTCTATTTTACACATAGATTTTACATATTGTCAATCTATATTACAACACGTTATCAGCACGAGCACTTTAACCAACTGAGCGAACGACGATGGCATCAAGATAACCAGGCAATCAAGGTAACAATCAAGAATTGATTTATGCCCTAGAAAAGAATCTTGTCTTTTCTGTCAAGGTAACATTCAAGATCTATTCAATATCAATAATGATCTATTAGTTTTATCAATTTTAATTATATTCCTATAAGGATTGATAGATCTAATGTTTGATCTGTTAATATGTATTTGGGCGATGGGTCTGATCGACGAATGTTATATTTACTGGTTCTTGAAATTCGCTTCAAATAACCCATGAATTCTGTTTTGAGATTACACATCAAGGCATTCGGATATAATGATTTGTTTGGTTATCTTATTTTAATTTCCGTAAACCCACGTATGATGGGGCTGTCAGAATAATTGTTCATGGTCCAATTTACACAAATTTTGTTTGAATTCTTATTTGCTGAATCAAGTAATTCTTCACTGCCCTGCTAAGCTAATGATGATGAAATTATATTATGGGAAATCAAGATTCTTACAGTTTTGATTTAATTAGTCCCTTAAGATGTTATGTATGAGTTGAGATGCAATCTGAAGGGATTAATACCATGATGCTTATTATATTATATCATTATATGACATTAAGGTAAAATTAATTTTTTAGTCACCAAAGTGACCTAATTAATTTTTTAATGTCCGGTCATATAATTTTATTGTTGCAACTGTTTATATGACATTAAGTGAACATTGATTTGTTAATCACCAAAGTGGCCGGATTAATTTTCTAATGTTTGGTCGTATAATTTATGTTCTCTTGAAAATGTCATTATTATGGATTAATGAGTTTATTGGTTTATTTATCTCTAAACGATTAGATTGATGATTTTTGTATGAGTTATGTGAATAAATAATTTAATGTGTATTTCCGCTATTGAATAGATCTAATTAATATTGTGTTTGATCTACTCGACACCAATGGCCTCTTTATTGGATGATAATGATGAGTATGTGATTTTGTTATCCGTGCCTTCCAAATATATCAATGACTCATATTTTATTTTGCTGATCATTCTCTTGCCACGAGTATTATATTCGTCATGTGAATTTGATGCAAGAGTTATTTCCGGACGTGTGTTATATCAATTCGAATTAATTTTGGATTCTCGACTTCTGTGAATTGCGTACCGCAAATATATATAAGTGCTGTTGCTGGAATTATTTCATTGGATAAACTAATGATTACATGATGCTGGTGGCTTTATTTTAATATTAATGTTAATGATCATAAAATTGTTTTACTTTACGTGGATTCTTCGTAAGTTATTGAATGTCCAAATCATGCCAATTAATTGATGCTCAATATATGTAGTAAATTAATGTAATGATCGTTATCATAATAGCAGATATGTTTATGTGCCTATTTTGTATGGGAGAAAGATTTTATATAAAAAGTGGTGGAATTATTGGATATAAATTATTTATGTTGTATAGCTCAATTTATGATCATCTTTGT